TATATAACATGTAACCATTCCTTTAATTTCCTCCTTAACCTGCTTGCAAATAAGATAAAACAGAAGTTTTGCAGAGTTCTCTTTCCAGTTTGAATTCAGGTGAGAACATCAGTAAACTAGTTAATGTCATATGCTTCTTCTGAATCTTTATTTTATTGCCCTGGTTTCCACAAAGCCTCTTTTATATCTCTGTGTGCCAGCTAATGATTAAAATCTCAGTGAATAGATATGCCATATTTTAATAGTTTTTTAAGTTCTATTTTTAAGTTATTGGCATTTACTATTTAAAATTTCATAAATGGCATTCTCTTTTCATCCATGTAAAGAGATATTACACATTTCTTTAACTGAGATCTGAATCATGTAGTCAACTTAATTTCAATGAGTTTGAAACTTCATTGTTCAAAAGAACACTTTACTTGAGTATGTTACATTTATTCGCTGTCTTTCTGGTACATATGACTACATAATGTGTCTTAACTTTTTAACTATCCAGATTTCATGGGGAATTCTCCATACTGTCTGCCATACAATTTACGTGATGTTAGGTTGGGGAATTTGGAATTGGATCAACCAATAATCCCCTTATTGATATTTTTCTTTATTCTCATTACTTGTCTGCTTAATATCGTACTGATAATGTTAGGAGAAATTCTGTCTAGGTCACTAATGGGACTAACAGGGTTAAAATGGGAGATTTCGTTACATCGTAATGATTAAAATTTTCTTATGCCTTCAAATGTAACATTGATGATGAAGTTTTCACATGTAACAGGATGATCAAGCTGAAGATTGCCTCAAAAAGGAGTGAACCCCACTGTAACAATTAAGTGAATTACGATCAAGTCGCCGACGGTTCAACTCGCCAACGCCAACTCGCCGACATATAAAATCGAGTAGAGACATCGGCGAGTTGGTCTTCAATCCAGTAAAACTTATTAGAAGTTAAACATATAGAAAAGTAAAAGATCTTTAGTCAAAAACCATTTTTTTTTTCTTCCAACAAAGTTTATAAGGATCTCATGGCGAATAAAGCAAGGTAAACATCGCCAATAACTATAAAAGCTTCAGAAGCGAACGAGTTATTGTGTGACAACAACACTGTAAAGACTCATCATGTCAATCGGTCAGATTTTTTAATTTTTTAACTTTTTTTTATATTTTTTTTCCTCTGATCCTCCTAACATTTTTTTATGTGTAGGGATTGGTATTAGCTATAAAACTAGAGTCAAATTAAATATTTTTGCACAGCCTATGTATCACATTTGTGGAATAAAATACTTATCCTTCTTAAAACTAGTTCATCAGAATAAGAATGAGTTACCAGGAACAAGTATGGCTTTCATGATGATAGCTTCCAGGTTTGAAAAAAGTTATTGCTTACGAAAATCCTCAGTTCCTTTGCTCTGAAAGCCCAACCTCATGAAAACATTTCCAACAGGGGAAATTAGCAAATTAATGATACAGACAAGAGAGCCTATTCCCACATACACTCTCCTCAATCCTTTCAGCTTATTATGGAAATGGCAGTTCAAACATGGTGTACACGCCACAAATTTTCCATTTCCCTGACTAATTACTCTGTAATGGCGTTTACAAGTTGTGGAAAATGGTTGGGTTGAAATATAATACAAAGACTTGCCAGTATTAGTCAAATGAAAGCTTTTTACATATCAATAAAATTCATTGTTGAATTTCATGTTAACATGTTGCAACAACTCCATCCCAGTAAATTGAATTAATAGCAAACATTGAGAAAATACCATCTAAAGGTTTTCAACCTATTTAATATAGCAAATAACAACATCAACTCAACTTTTAAACTAAAGAGAAAACTTGATTGATGTTTGGAATTTATTAATATGATGTGGAAATGAAATCCAGGTATTATCTCAAGTTCTCTTGAAGACATCCACATTATATGCAGTTGCAGCATAGGTTACCGAATGAAATAATAGACGTCGTGTATTTCCACCCAGAGGACAATCATGAAACAAGAATAGCCAAATTGAAAAAGTTTTTTAAAAATTACAGGTTCAAACGCGAGTTGAAAATTGCCTTTCTTTTGAATTTCCTACGCTTATCAGAGGAGGTTGAAAGATTAGGGAAAAACGGTGGGCAAGTAATCATACCAGGCAACTTCAAGAGAAGATATAAGAGAACGGCCCATACAATTCTGGTTGTCGTTGCTCACGTGTACACACTTCAATCGACCAGTGATGTCTTAACACGAAGTAATTTACCGTCGTTTCCTTCAATTTTCGCTCATTTTCCTAATCCGGAATTATAAGTCGCGCTCAATAGAATATAATTTCAACTGACGCTGACATCATACAATCCATCTAAAGAAAACATTTCCTATCTTCGAAAATTTGCTTAAAACATCAGGAACAACAACGGTCCTAAGCTGTTTAAAGATACCGCTGACTAGCATGCGTATTAATCGCTTTGCAAGTTGTGAGAACATTGTTCCCACGTTCCAGACCTCGTAAATTCCCCCCCCCCTTTCTCTATCACGCAAGATCACATATCGGTGTAAGTGAAAATATCGATGGGTTATCTCCCACCCATCCTCCACCCAGAAAAACGGTGAGGTTCCCTCTATCAAAGAAGCAGAAACTATTAAAGGAATTTACTTGTAAGAGAAGGGCGGTTAGTGCCAATATAAAGCAGTAAATAACGTCGGATGAGAGTCCTGATAAATTTGTCAACAGCCTATCATCATAGCTCTAAATCGGAGTTTGAGCCCAAGTCCAACCGGCACTCGTTAAAGAAGTTCTTCTTTACAAATTTGGCGAGGGAGGAGAAACAATATGTACGCCTGACATTCTAAACATATTCGCTTTGAATACAATTTTGGGAGTCCATTGAACCGTGCTAAGCGGATTATCAAGTTTCACCCTTCTAGGTGATTTCGTTGAGTGATTTACGCTTGAAATAACGAAATCATAAACGTTAAACAAAGAGCTTTAGTAGTTTAATTAATAAGCTCTAAATCTGGAGAATGTTTGGTTTGACAACCATTCGACAACTAATAAAATTATTGGTGTCTATTGGTTTCGCTTTAGATTGCTGTAACGTACGGCCGGCCGCATGATAGTTGATTGATAATTTCGGGCGATAACTTCACCGATTCTTATTACCATAGGCCCGGTATTTAAGTTCATTTCTTAATAATTTTGCAGCAGCATGGCAATGTCAGTGTACCCTGGGTTTGAATCGATACACAGCCGTATATGTTTACATCCTTACCTCCTCTGATATTCTGAGTGCCTTTTTTGCCCTCTGTTTCATCTGGTCTAATGTCTGCAGCCCTTCTGTCGATATACCTCGAGACTTCATTAGCTCAGACATTCGCCCAATATCGTCGATTTCATCAATGTCTATCGACGCACTCATGTTGCGTACGCTCTTTAGGATGTCTTGAACAATAAACAGTTTCAAGAAAAGAGAGAAGGACGTAACTATGCACCTTCTAGGTAACGTTCTGTTGGGCTGTTTATCACATACGGGGTTTTATATTTACGTTACTGCTTTATCTCGGATTTAGGTTTTCACGGTTGAGTAGAGGCGGTTGTTATCGTTGAAACTAGACTGTTCATTGACTAGAAACAAATCCATTTCAAAGAACTCACACCGTAGTATTGATATGGATTGATTGAATCTTACTTTTCTACAGCTCTCAAAACAGTTATTTCTTTGCATATGCGAGATGGATCTGTCAGCAACAGCTGTAGACGAGATCGACGACATCGTAGTTATGGTTCAAACAATGGCGCGTTTGGGAGTTTCGCATAAAGGCTTGAAAACATTAGACGAAATGAAAAGCGCGGTGAAACAGAAACTTACAATATTGCCGAAAAAAATCCAGTTGGACAGCAAGAGAGGCGAGGACGATAAGCAATGCGAGGTTAATTCATCTAAGTGTCACGGATCAGGAAATAAACCTTAGATAAAATTAAAGGATGCTTCAAACAAAATTATTTATGAACTGAGCTGTTGATGAAATGAAGCTGCCGCTCGATTCAGGAATGTTACTCCAAGTTTAAAGTTTAAAACACTTTGTAGAGTTTTCCATTGATTTCCTCTTGATGCCTATATCTTTTTAGTTTGTGTATGTTAGAACATAAATGCAGCGACGTTGGTAAGTTCAAAGTTGTCTTATCTATAATATGGATTCTTTGATGGTTCTTTGAACCACCTCGTATCAGCTTTCTCTTCCGTGACTACTTCTGAAGAAATCACTGCATTGACCTACAACTCTTAAACCAGCGCACGTTGATTAAAACCTCTGAATTAACCGATCAACAAATGGATATAACTTTATCAAAGGTGTCAAAGGTAGCTTGCCGATATGTCGTGACGCCGCAATTAACTAAACAGCGGTTTACCATGGTGCATTTGGTTCAAGTTACCAATTTCGCTTTAATTGTTGATAATTGTGAACAACGAAGAGGTCTTTTCACTCTGAATAGCTTACAAAAATGCAATTCTTAAGTAGCACAATAAAGAGGAGAGTAAATTCAGAGTATAAAAGAGGTAATTAGAGCAAAAGAAAATAAAACACCTAAAAGTTGGCTTTGAACAGCATGCAAACGACCTTAAAAGCATTTTTAATATTGTTGTTTGATTGAACGCGGTTGTTTTTAAGAAACGCACAATGAGATCTGTGGGGTTTAAATGAACTATTTTTTGCACGTTATTCGTGCCCTTTGCGGCTGAATAATTGTGAAAAGCTATCTAAAATTTTTTTCATGTACACAATTATCAAGTTATATCGATTACTTAGGGTGCGATATATTATCATAATTTTCATTTTAAGGACAACTTTTGGAGTTGGATTGAGAAAGCGTCAAAATGTTCTTGATGAAGAAGTTG